AAATGAAGTTTACTAAACTTTACTAAATCTTTACACTGCCAACAATTTTGTTCTGAAGTTATTTACTTTTTTGGTTTTGTAGTTAGTTTCAAGAGAAACTAGCAGCAGAAGCAGAGAAATTACATGTATTATGTAGAAAACCTAGTAATATGAAACTATAGACATTGCGTTAACTGGTTTGAAATATTTGAAGTCCAACTCCCACCCTGAAGGGGTCTGACTTCATTAAATCAAATGTGTAAATTTCTTGGTTAAATACAAAGTATCCACCTCATGACTCACATAATAAAACACAAGTCACAGGATTATTAATCTATACTTTACTCAGTTGAGACAAAAAATAATTAATAAATCTGTTTACAGCTAGAATTTAGAGCACTGCATTCCAAACATATTACATAAGCTTACATAAAGCACAGCACCAGACCACCYACTGAGTGTAATGCATGACCCTCAAGATTTTCCAGGTATAAATGGATTTTGCTCTGAAACTCTGAAGCTTCTACTAATCAAAAACAGCCACTTAATGCATATGATCGCACTAAAATGGTCTTTTTCTTCTGTTTTATTTAGGATTCTACAAAACAATATAAATAATTACAAAAGTGAACATGTACAGCATTTGACTTTTCTGTCAGCACAGAATGAAGCGTATCAGTGTTTGTGGTAGTTCCGTGGCAGCTCCAGAAGGGGGAAACCACACAGCACAGCAGAGTACTGATGTGAATTATTCTCTCTGCAGTTTGTTGTGTCTACAGCAAATGTCTTATCTCAGAGCGAGGCAGTCCACCCTGCAGAMGTCTCTGTGTAGGACGAACTAAACGAGGTCAGTAAGCTTGAGTGATGGTCTAGATATTGTAAACATTCTGTGGCAAAGCAGATTGCTGCTGCAATGTCAACCCTTCTGAAGCAACAGTCACTGGTCACTCAGTTATAGAGTTATACATTCACTACTGATCTATTCAGTTAAAACAAAAACAGCTTAATGTTTACTAGAATTCACCTAGATGTGTTACTCTAACAATAYACAACTTAGATTTCCCATTTAGTGAATAATGAATGCAAATACATTGCGTAGATGTGAAACAATATGTATACTGTTTTATAATATCCATGGCATTTTTTTTAACTAACTGTGCATGCTTAGTTTGCATCAACAGTTTGGTTCAAAACTATCTTATTAAAATGTCTGTAAAAAAATTTAAGTAAACTTTAAAGGATTTACTTCTGACAATCTAAGGTTACAGCAGAGAGAACAGCAGTTTCCAGGAGGTGGGTGTGAAAACGAGATCCTTTCCCACACCTAACCACACCCATCTGATCCACATGTGACGTGTGACAGGCTCCCTCCCCTCTCAAAAATGACATTACGTATTAGTCACTGCGTACAAAAGGCATGACTTTAGAAGTTAARCCCCGCCTTCTGCTGTGAGGAGAGAGAAGCCACACCTGTGTGCAGGGGCAGGTTCTGACAGCTTTCTTATCTCTATCTGACATTATCCCTCAGATTAACAGCAAGGTGTTCAACAAGCAACACTTTACAAGCAGAAGCAGAGATGAAGCTCTAACAAAAATATTAAACCTCTGAACCTTGATCTTATCGATCAACTAACGATTAATTGTTAAGCGGCCATTTTCCTAAAAACCTGACATCTCTCTTCCTACAACATGAAAGGCTAATTTTAACACACCAAATTAAATAAACAAAATAGTATTATTTTAACAATTCATTGTGCCAGCTGTGTGAGTAAACACTGAATGAACAGAGAAACGTGGATTTCTCTCACA